TGGAATTCCGACTCATCATACGACCCGGATTACTTCACCCCTTGGATAAATGAAATTATGAGACAGAGATACCCTTGCCAAAGTGAGAACCGATTGTGTCCCCTGGAGTTTCACTGTGCCACCACTAGCGACCCCCAGTGTTCTGATTTCCCCTCTCCGGACCACACCTACTACTTCACCCACCCTGGATTTGTCATTGTCTCTACTAGCTTTCCTCCCTTCCGCCTCCTTCTTCCATATCATCAACTCAGTGTTGTCCTGTGGCCGGCCATAGCCCCATACTGGACTAGTACGCCCTGCGAAAACTGTCGGCGACGCGGCAAGCGAAGAACCCCGGAATCCCGAAGGCCCAACCCGAACGCGCAACGACAGACGCCACGTGGCAACTCTCGACGGCCTGACTCATCGGCACCCCACCTGTCCCGGAGAGACCCGCCCGCAAACCGCCGTCCTCGAAACCAGTGGCTCGCCCGACCTTAGGAAACCATCCAGGCTGGGACCGGAGGCGGTCCGCCTTCTCCGCCAAATCACACTCGTGCCCCCGAAAACCCTGCCACAGGAGATCTCAGTTCTGACATGGGACTCCACTTTCCAAAAAATCCTTGGCACACCCCTTTTTGCACTTCCAGGCCCACATCCTACTCCGATCAGGAAGTCGCGCTGGGCGTGAGGTTAGTATCAGAGCCCGACACGTGGCCGAGTCTTAGGATTAATAGCACATTAATTGGGCGATCTGGCTAACCGAGGGCGACCTCGACCCCGGAACGCGCATAGACGCGACTCCATCATCACCCGAAGTAGATCGGCTAATCGACGGGCAGCCAACATGACTGCTAATGTACAAAACCCGAATCCGCAACAAAATGCTAATCAACCCAATCCTAACCCACCTGCCCCGCGAGCACGGCCCCCCATGACGCCACCTGATCTTTATCTATTCGATCCAGCACATCATCTCGCAGGAGCATGGTTGGCTACGCTCCGAGCCTAGCAGTATGATGATAACGAAGCACAGGTAAATCTTCCTGCTCGATTCGGAGGAGAAGCTCATCATTGGTTTAGTACCTATGTCCATCCAGAGCAAGCACTCTACATGATCAAGGACCGAGTGCAAAAACCTCTCGAGTCTATCACAGAATACCGAAATCGGTTCTATCGAATGTTTGTGAAGACTGAGCGAGGCGAGTAATTCGGGAGAGATTTGTTTATCGATGGGCTTCGAAGCCGAACGATAAGGGCGAAGTTGCGAAAGCAATTTTCTCCTATCACCCATACGTTGCAACAGATCATGGCTGCTGCAGAAGAAATGGAACGGAAGTTTGCGGCGGACTTCCTGGAAGGAGAGAACTATTCTAGGGAAGGAGATTCGTCCGAAATAGCGAGGGCGAGAGCTGAGCTAGCCGCATTACAAAACAGGTTTGAGAATATGAGATTTGTGTATGGCCCAGTTACCTATATAGAACAAGTGGGCCCTAAACGACCAACCCCGAGTGAGATCCTGAGTGTCCCTGTTCCTGTGATACAGACACCTGTAAGAGCGGTCCCCCCGCCACCAATTGAGAATCCTGAAAGAATAAATGAATCCACTGCCATTTGAACTAACCAAGACGTTAATTAGCCTAATACACGAAAGTAAAAAGGAACAGCGAGAACACAATGCTCGGTTGGAAGCCATGATGAGAAACATGCGGCCCATTGCAGTACGTGCCCCTCCAATCCAACAAGGGCTGGCCCCGGCGCCTGCTCTCGGGGGAGCCGCGAACAATCTGAATGTCTGTTATGCATGCCATCAGCCAGGACATCTAGCCCGTGACTACCCCCACTGACCCCCGCAATAGTGGATCGGGGTCGCACCAGTGGCAGCGGCCCCCGTCGCTAACGAACCAGGGAGGGTAGGAGCTCTCATGGAAGAGATGGAAGGTGTGGGAAGTGCGTTAGCGACCGCGAAAGAAGCTGCCGAGCTTATTCCGTTAGATCAATATGTATCGTTGGGCTATCCCGGACTCGGAATGATCGGAACGATCAGGCCGGCACCAGAACAGAAAGAAGTAGCGGAGTGGCAACCCTCTCTAGGAGAAATGGAGTCGGGAGGACCCACTTTCGTCACTGGGGAAATTGATGTACTGAACATCGTCCGAGCTTTGGACCATCGGATTCCACTCCCGAGCGGCCATTTGCTCTCGATCTCTGAACAAGCTAATGAGCGGATGTTACAACATTGCAAGGCGAATCGGAAACAATTCGCCCTCACTCGAACACCAAACCACGCCAGACGAAAACGCGACTGGCACATCAGATCCAATAAGGGTAGGACTAATACAAAAAGATGATCGAAACATCCAACGAACCAAGGCGATGATTTCGGGCGAACCCCTCATACAGATTTCGAGGATGGCTGTTTCTTTGGAATCCCCTGAAACCCTGTACGAAGGAATCTCCCCTCTCCTCGCCCAATATAAAGACAAGAAACACTACTGCGATATAACAGATCTACCCAAGTCCCTATTGACACCTGCAAAAGAGGTACGACTATTACGCTTGGGGGCGGAGACCAGTTTGGAACCCCCTGGGCGTCTCGAAGCCGAATCAAACGAACTCGGAATAAAGATCGCAACTAAAACAGTGCCATGGCAAGATATCTGCGATGGGATCACCCCGGAAGGGCACGTGGCCGTCCGGGAGGAAGACGTCCAGATGATGGTCACGGTGTTCTCCTAGCGATCGGACCATTCGTTCATTTCTTCACCACCCGATGTGGCAAAACAAGCACTCACAAAGCAAATCGATGTACGAATCTGGGACCCGTCTTTTGAGTTACACGTTCCACAATACGTAACTGATGAGATACACCGAGTGATGGCAGATATCCTGATAGAATATCAGGAAGCGATTAGCGTAACCGACACTGACATTGGCTTGTCGCTAGTTATTCAACACAAAATTTAGACGGGAAATCATTCCCTTACTGTTATTCCCTGATAGAACGGAAAAAGGCATTCGATCGAATTCGAAAATTCGAAGCCAGCAGGTGGATTGAACCCGCCACTGGACCATGGTCATTTTCCGTAGTGTTAGTACCGAAGAAAAACGGATCAATTCGCATATGCATCGATTATCGCAAGCTGAATGAAATCACGATTAAAGATGTATATCCCCTCCCCTGGATCGATGATTTGCTGGATGCGATTGGATGCGCTAATTATTTTAGTAAGTTTGATATTCGACATGGCTTCCATCACATTATGGTTAGAGAGGAAGATAGGCCGAAGACGGCCTTCGTGTTGTTTGAGGGCACGTGGCAGTGGGTTCGGTGTCCGATGGGGATTTGCAACGCGCCTGCCACACTCTGCATCCCAACTGAGAGGCTGGTCCTTTCATAACAGGTTCGTTTGTGGCCGTGCAATCGCGACGAAGCCCTTGATGAAACAACGATAGTACGATGCCAATCCCAAGAAGGCTCGAACCTGCGTCAGCGACGTGGGAACCGGAGCCTCTCTTACAACCGCGACCTTTCTCGAGTCAGGCCGCAGTCCTCCACGCGTCACGACGTAGCCCAAGAACGAAATTTTCGAAAGGAAAAATTCGCTCTTTTCGAGTGCGATCTTGAATCCAGCGTCCCTTAGTGCTCCCAGCGTCCACTCAATGTGTTGCGCATGCTCGGGATAGGTCTCCGAGGGATGTCATCCATGTATACGATCATGCAGAAGTTGATCATTCCCTGAGTTAGCCGCGTCTTGTTGACGAAGTTATGGAATGTCATGTTCATCAAGCCTTCGCGACCCTCAAGGACGCTCTGGCGACGACGCCTATTTTGATCCGGCCGGATCCCTCGAAACAGTTCATTCTTATCACAGACTGGCAATCGAAAGCTATCTCCGCTATTCTAGCGTGAACGGTGCCAGACGAACGGAGGAATGACTCAGCACCCGAAGGCGAATGCTATGCTGTAGTCTGGTTAATCCGGCACTTCCATCCGCATCTCTATGGACAGAAGTTCCGCCTCATGACGGATCACGAGCCTTTGCTGGCCTTGAAGCGGTACGACTACAGGAATACGACTTCGACATCATCCACCGGAAGACAGAAAGGCACGGCAACGCGGACGGACTGACACGTCTGCATCGGCCCGCTAAAGTGCCAAAAGGCGAGGAAATCACTCCGTGGAAGGAGTCGGAACCGGCAAACGGGCCTAAGTATGGACTAGTGGCAGTTCTCCCACGTGGCAAGAAGCAGACCCGTGGCAATGGGTGACGGAGGTAACCTTACTACTCTTCTTTCTCCTATCTCCTCTTCGTCTATTTTCTCCCTGCCTGACAAATTTTGCTATTTTTGCGAAGCAATTTCTCGCGTATACTCTGTCTCCATGTGTCCGAACGAGGAAGGGTATGCGGAATGGATAGACTGTCGACAATGTGTCGCACGATCCCATGGCTCGTGCATCCAATACCGAAATGATAATAAACTGTGGTTATGCCCCTTGTGTCGGGCTGACAAGATCCCGACCGAAGCTCGCTTTTTGGATGCCACGTCGGAAGGGTTGGAAAAGACCCAGAAGTTTCGAAGGGCCGAAGTATGGACCGACATCGCCTTGATTGCCACCTTAGTGGGTAACCCCCTCCAGGATTTCACCAAGGAAGATCGGAGGAGGGCTAACGAAAGGGCTCAAGATTATCGATGGATAAAGGGTAGGTTAGAAAAACGGAAAACGGACGACTGTGGGATTTGGATGGTTGTACCGCATCCGTTCATGAGGTACGACTGGGTAAGGATGACACATGAAGAAACAACAACCCACTTTGTCGTACGGATTACCGAATCAGCAATCGATAAAAACGAGTGGTATTGGTCCAATATTCGGGACGATCTGAAATTCATCGTCGCAACTTGTCAAGTCTGCGCTGCTGACAAGGCGCCGATCCAGCCGCCAAGATCGATAGTTCCAACGGTAGTTGAGCGGCCGTTCCAAAGGGTGAGTATGGATACTACCGATATCGTGGTTCCCCCTGGTCCTAATAGTTGTGAATATTCAGTCCTATTGGTATTCGTCGACCATTTTTCGAAATAGATCGAGGCCTACCCCTGTCGTATGCGACAAGCCGCTGAAATCGCGCGGTATGTTAAATGTTTTCTTGGGATGCACTAGGATACGAAAGAAATCCTGACCGATAACGGGGCAGAATTCAGAGGGGAAGTATTAAGGAACCTGGTCATACATGGTGTCGCTGTACGGAACACCGCGCCCCACATGTCACAATCTAATGGACTGGTAGAAAACGCCAATAGGGTGATAAAGACGACACTGCGACGCAACATTGCGGCACGAGATCCGAGGCCCTGACCCGATATCATCAACCACATCTTAGCGGTCCATCGCGGAACGCCCAATGAATCGATGGGCCTGAGCCCCTTTCAATTAAGGACTAATAGCATCGCTTGCGTTTCGATACCAAGCCTCCCTGACGAATCAACGCTCAACCGCCAGCCCACAAGGGCCACCGCGCGGGACAAGGCCAAGCGGCACCTAGAGTTAATAGAACGGTCCCTCCCCAGGCTGGCCTGAAAACGCTAGAGAATGACCGAGTTGGCCCATGGCCGATAAATATGAAGCTACGAGGCCCGGAACGGGAACGCAGGTCCACGACCCCAGTACAAATTGGGGGACATCGTGCAGGTAAGGAAATGTGCTCGCCAGGGTAAGCTAGCGCCACGATTCTTCGGGCGATTTCGCATGATTGAGCTTGGAACGAACGGCGAGAACACCGTGCGGCCTGTGCCTGAAGTCTCTGGCAACCGATCGGCTCGACCGATCATCCGCCACGTGTCTTACCTTCGTCCCCTCCCGCCTTCCCCATCTTCGCATTTATCTGAATCCTCCTCCGCTATGGAAGAGGACGACGACTGCTTATCACTTGCCTCTCGGTCTCCTTCTCGTTCTCTCTCTATCACTCCATCGTCATCGCCATGAGTTTTCTCACGGAGCGAGCTCTCGACAATTCTCTACTGGTGCCATGGTGTCACATCTCGGCGATTCGACAAGTTCACCATACGCGGCTCAATCCAGATCTTCGCCGACTTGCGCAGTTCTTCTGTACCCAAGGAGTATACGCGGCTGCTGAGTTTCGTTTTGCAGGAAGTCCCCGGGCGGTTGTTTTAGCATAGGCGGTAGGAGTTCATCGGCGATCGGCTCCAGGAATCAGCCACGTGTCTACGGTGGTCTCCTTCAACGGCGACATCAGCACCATCAACCCGCTGCGGCACACAGCTATCAAGACGACGCTCCAGCTGTGGGCACAACAGTTAACAGCGGAGTGGAATCAGTGGCTCACGCCCCACGGAGACAACCTTTTTCCCACGGACGGTGTCGATTTCGACGGGATCCGAACCTTCCAACACGAGCCAGCGGTGGTGCTTCCGGAGCTCGTCCCCTTCCCCCGTCCTCAATAAACCCATCCCCGATCTCCACTTTCGACCTCCCCTCCTTCTTCCCTACTCTCTGGCTATCCGGAGTCCACCCGCATCTCTCCTTTCTTCTAGAATCACTTGCTGTCCCCCTCCTCGATCCCCTGCAGTAGAGGCGTTGGCGAGAGCACTTCAGTGAGCTATCGGTGTGTCTAGTCGGAGTAAGGGTCACGTGGACGCAACACGGAGATCACCGCCAGTGGGCCGAGTACCTCGAGCTGCTTATCATCCAGGCGTGGCGAACGGAAGTGGAAGGCAATCTGCTCGGATTCCTCTTCGGATCGGTGCGGCCTGATCACCGCCAACCGATCGTACACGAGTTAACGGTCCCCCTTGCACAGCTGGCCGACGATCTTCCTCTTGAGATCGTCTCGCAGAGCGACGACAGCCCGGTCCCTCACGTTCTTACGCGGACCCTGGCGTCATATCTTCAGTGGTCGGCATGCTTGAAGGAACCAGGGAGCCACCGCAACCCGCCATCACAGCGCGGTTACCTGGACCCGCACGAGATAGTCGATCTCGCCTTCTTCCAAGATCGGACGGCTTCCGAAAACGAAGAGATAGAGATTGAAGCGGAAGAAGTAAGCTCGGAAGAAGAAGAGGAGGTCAAAGAAGAAGCCGACGAGGAAGAAACTCCCGAAGAAGGGAGTTACAGTGAGCACAGCGAAGGGGAGCAAAGTGAAGCGAAGGAGGAAGAAGAGCAAGATGACGAAGAAGAAGAAGAAGACCAGGAGGAATTAGAGGAGTCGGAGTACGAAGGATTTGAGGAGGAAGTGTGCGACGAGGCTCGGGCGCAAGCTCAGGCACAAAAGAGGGAAGAGATCGCGGTCGGGAAGCGACAGTTGGAATTCGCCAGCGCAGCCGGTCAGCCGCGCACCTACGATCTGGCCTGGGATCCGGAGCCGCCTAAGCCGGAGGATGGAGCGACAGCTGGCGAGACTTCGGCCGCACCAGCGAGACTTCAGCCGCACCAGCGAGACGGCGGCGAAGCCGATCCCCCTCCCCCTCCTCCTCCGACCGCCCACCAACTCGTCCACGTATTGATGCGGGGCATCGGGCTTCGTCCCCGGTCCTTATTCCGCCGTCCCTTTGATCACCTCTCCTTCTGCCAGATCACCACCCGCGTCACCTTCCCCACCAATCCCTTCCCCATCGATACTTTCCGCTTCTTCTACACTACCCGCCTCGATGTCACTGTTCATCCCCATCCTTCCACCCGATGCGCCCTCCCTGTCTTCTGCCTCCATATCCTCTTTCTTAGTGCCGCGTGGCGAGGCCACAATATGATCGAGGTATATTGCATGATTACGGAGACTATCCCCGCATGCGAGAACCACGATCACTTCCGCGCGGCCCTTTTCCGAACCTTTACCACCCTCTATCCCGATTACCTTGCATCCCTTCCCCACACGGGCAACTGATTCCCCCGCTTCCACCGGATCGTTCGCTATCAGGAACTTCCGGAGACGGTGCCCGAAATGGAGAGTTTCCTTCCCCCGCTACCCATCAACCCTCCCCCTCGCCACCCCTCCGTGTATCGTCTCCCCTTCCCCCTTCCCGGTGCTCGCTGATGCATGATTAGTGAACACGTGCCCTGGCGGCGACATGTGTAATCCCCTCCTTGGATTGTCAAAGGCCCTCCCTGAGGAATTAGTAGTAGAGCAGTACTGCCACGTTGGACGACGTCCACACGCATTCGAACGACAAGTGGCATGGAAAAGCTCCGCGTGTCAATCAACTAGAGAAGTCGACACGTGTCAACAAGCAAGCAGGAGCTTGCAAATATTGGAACCCTCTGGGCGTCACATATGTGACGAACCACTTTCTATAGCGCGTGACTTTCTGTGCAGCTACGATGAGGGGTCCTAAGCTGGGAAGGTTGGCCCAATTACAGGAGATTGGGATGGATGGGAAATTGCATCGGTGCCCTCGTTTCTTCGCCTTTTTGCGTCGGTCCTTTTCGGTTGGCTGAATTCGGAGCTGGGTGAGTCCCGGGGCGGGTGATTGATTGGTCGGATGGTTGGCGCGCCGCCAAGTGCGCAACTAATAAATGTTGATGACAACTCTTTTGGCACGGTCTCAGAACTTTCTGGGCGCGGACATCGCGCGGGAATTTGCTTCATTTTTTTTTAGTTCTCCTTTTTGCATTCTTTTTTGAATTTTGTCGAGCCCCGATGGCTCTCGGAATTTCGGACTTTCAAGTGTTTTTTGTTTTTTCGCACTAGGTAGGAATTTAGGAATTTTGTAATTAGGACTTTTTTTGCCTCGCGGCGCCTTTTTGCTCATGCGCTTCTTTCTGCGGCTGCAACGGAATTCTGATTAGTCGGCGCCCTTGATCGAATGTGTAATTGTAATCTTGTGTTGGCGCCATTGTAACTGTATCGTTCTTCTTGCGCTTCGTCTTTCCTTCCCTCCTCTTTCTTCTGCTGCGTTTTGGTAGCCACGGTCTACATGCTCGGATCGATGCGTGGAGAAGGGCTACGTCCCCCACGCCGCGGCCCGGTCATGCAGAACGTAGGCACTCCCTCTCTAATCTCCCTCTAAGTCCTGGTAATTCCGTGTTCCTCGTGCATGCACACACGCTATAAATTTCGGTTGCGCGATTAATTAGCTCTCTTAATCAGCTGTTGGAAGCTCGGGGTTGCGCGATCAGCGAGGGTCGGCACACGAGCGAATTAAGAGGTGAGTAAAGCAGGAGCCGGCCGAACCGACGAGCTGGTGCCAAACTCGCGGGGTTGATGCGGGCCACGACGGATTGTGGGCGCGGGCGAACCTGACGGGTGCAGGAGGACTAAGCGGGGTGACGGCTTCATGGGTTGGTGCGCGACGACGGACTGTCCGCATCGGAGAACAAGAGAGAGAGGAAGGGAGAGTTGAGGTTGATGGATGTGGAGTTGCTGTTTCTTTTATCTTTTCTCCCTCCTGTCTCATGTATATAAATTTTGATTTCGGCTGTGGGCGATCTGCCCGATTTCTGTTTATCGGAATTTGGACTTGGGTTCTTGCTCACACTTGTCCTTGCGGTTTTCCACCTCTGATGCACTGTCTGTATGATTGCTGAATGAATTCATGTATGGATGCCATGTTTAATTGCTTATCCTTCCGCCGGATCCTTATTTTCGCTTTTGTTTGTCGCATTTGATGCACTCGTAAGTAGAATAGGAATTTTGCGCAATCGGTAATCCTGTCCTTGTCTTCGAGTGTCTTTTGATTAAGATGATTATGGTCGTTGCATCTTGCATGCTCAAGACAACACGGAATGATTAGACGACCGGATGCCGGGCCCCGACGAACGCCGTGCGAGGATACGTATAAAATGCGACCTGAGTTGCACACTTACACGTATCCCCGAGCGTCGATCACAGGCGCACTGACTGATTGGACGGGGCTATCCCGGGGTCAGCGACGATGCAGTCGTCCCACACGAACACGTGTAAGCCCAACGTAATCCGCATGGCCTGCACGTGCTCGCACGCGGCGATCTCGATCGTCACGGACCCGCCCTTAGGCAATTCATAACTCCGCAATGACACAATGACGCGACCTTGGAATTCCGACTCATCATACGACCCGGATTACTTCACCCCTTGGATAAACGAAATTATGAGACAGAGATACCCTTGCCAAAGTGAGAACCGACAGTGTCCCCGAGAGTTTCACTAGTGACCCCCGGTGCTCTGATTTCCCCTCTCCGGACCACACCTACTACTTCACCCACCCTGGATTTGTCGTTGTCTGTACCAGCTTTCCTCCCTTCCGCCTCCTTCCATATCATCAACTCAGCGTCGTCCCATGGCCGGCCATAGCCCCATACTGGCCTAGCACGCCCTGCGAAAACTGCCGGCGACGAGGCGAGCGGAGAACCCCGGAATCCCGAAGGCCCAACCCGAACGCGCAACAACCGACGCCACGTGGCAACTCTCGACGGCCTGACTCATCGGAACCCCACCTGTCGCAGAGGGACCCGCCCGCAAACCGCTGTCCTCGAAACTAGTGGCTCGCCCGACCTTAGGAAACCATCCAGGCTGGGACCGGAGGCGGTCCACCCTCTCCGCCAAATCGCACTCGTGCCCTCGAAAACCCTGCCACACGAGATCTCAGTTCTGACCTGGGACTCCACTTTCCCAAAAATCATTGGCACACCCCTTTTCGCACTTCCAGGCCCACATCCTACTCCGATCAGGAAGTCGCGCTGGGCGTGAGGTTGGGCATCACGCCCCTTTCCCCCCCACC